GCAGCTTTGGGGGTTGATCCTAAGGGAAAAGGGGCAGGCAAGACACAGCCTTCTCAGAAAGGTGGTGAAGCCACTGGGGGTGAAGGTAAGGGGAGTGCAGGGGCCAAGAAACCATGCACAGGCTGGATTACGGATAAAGGGTGCAAATTCGGGAAGCAGTGTACATTTGCACATACGGTGGAAAGGCCAGGCAAATGTTGGACGTGTGGGGGGGCACACCAAAAAGTGGACTGCGTAGCGCCGGGAGGGGGCAAGTACCAGAAGCCTCCAACCTCAGAGCCTAATGCCAAGGCGAAGGGGAAGACGGGAGCATCGGAAGCGGGTGCGGGCGGAAAAGGGAAACCTGGGTCTGCAGCAAAGGCACCGAGTCAGGGACAGGGTGGCTTGACACAAGAAGCAATCAAGGAAGCGGCACAGCTTCTTCAGAGTATGCGATTGGCATGTTTGAAGCCTTACGTCAGGACTGCAGCCGAGCTTCTGTGTAGGGCCCACAGAGGAGAACCTCGTGGACTCATCGATGGGGGAGCAACCTCGTGTTTGAGGACAGCGGAGGCTCATGAGCAGGACATGCCGGTTGTAGGAGTCAAGCTTGCATTCGGCGAGTGTCAGCTGTTGGTGAATCCCCAGGGTACACTTCTCAGCCGAACCCATGTGTCACCCATACTGTCCGTTAGGGCTCTGCTGTCACTGGGATTCAAGATTGAATGGGATTCTCTTAAGTGCAGGATCTGGCATCCCAGTCGGGGGGAGTTGGATCTTGACGCGAGTTCCGGATGCCCAGAAATCCCAGAGCAGGAAGCGCTGGATCTAATCAAGGAGTATGAATCTCTGGTCGAGCGGGATGAATGCAGGAATGCTAGGCTGCATTGCATTATGAAGGACTTGGAATCTTTGAGTGGAGAAGACTTAGCCGGAATTATAGTGCAACGTGATGTGCACGCGGACGCAGCTATGCACACGCTCTTGAAGAGGATATTTCCTGGGGTCGACCGAGATTTGATCTCTCAGGCAGCGGTGTCTCTGCAGGATCAAGACGGAGAGTCGTTTGCTTGGAATCGCAGGATGAGGCGTCGATGCGACCAGGCAAACGGCGTGCTGGTACACTTGTTCAGTGCAGGGTGTAAGCGGGCTTATGAAGGGTTGGCAGATCGCAGCAAGGTTGCGTTGTTGACAGTAGAGCGGCCCGAGAATTTCCTCTCTGACAGTACGTTCCGGTACTTGCTTCAACAGGCATCCAAGGGAAGGGTAAAGGGTGTGGTTGGGGCTCCTCCGTATAGGACGTTTGCGTGGAGCAGGTATCNNGGGAGCATTTTCATAGGCCTCTTAGGGTTAGAGGAGAAAGCTTAGGAGACTATGGGGTTCAGGACTTGAATTGCAGGGAGCAAGCTCAGCGTCGAATGGATGACATACTGATCCTTCGCATGATGATCCTGACGGTGGTGGCGACTGCGGCCAGCCGAGCATTGCATCATGATGCCCCCATTGTTATCTACGAGAACCCTGAAGACCCTCAGGAGGACATGAGAAATGGATACCCTATGGAAAGCTTGAGTCCACCCGAGCACGGGTTTGCCTCCTTATGGGCAGTACCAGAGTGGAAAGCGCTTGAACAGTTTGTGGGATTGCATCAAGTCTCATTCCATCAAGGGGCTTTGGGTCATGTGAAGAGACGGCCCACCACTTTGAGTACGAATGTGTCACCGGATCCAGTGCTACTTGACTGTTGGACAGAAGAGCCATCGGTGGAGGGTATGTCCGGGGTGCCAACAGGGTGTCATCAGAACTGGGTAGGCTGGGCTCCGGGTTTGCAGTGCGCGATAGGCAATATGCTGTGGAGAGCGTTCCAGGAACAGCTTGATGGGGGTGGGTTTAAGATCAAATCGGTGGATGCCGGGTTTCTAGAGCACTTGAAGAACAATCACACTCCTTACAGACGCGATTGTAAGTACTGTGTTCAGGGTGGAGCTCGGCAGAAGCAACACCGTAAGGTTTTGGCCCCGCAAGGTTGGACGCTAAGTGTGGATACTACCGGACCTTTTCCCCTTGGGCTGGATGAAGGCACCACCAAAGCAAAGTATCTCCTCGTAGGAGTTCTTTCGGTCCCAATTCTGTCGGCAGAGGGCAGTGCTGTGGATGAGCCAGCAGACAGGGATCCTTTGATTTCTGTGGAGGAGTTTGCCAGAGGTCTTGAGGACAGAGAATGGTTTGTAGATCAGGGTATGGAGTTGGAGGAACCCCTGCCAGAGCCATCCCAACGGGAGCTAAAGGAAGCAAAGGATGCATGGAACAGTTGGGAGAAAGTGGTCAAGGCCAGTCGTGAAGATTGGTTGAAGGAGGCTAAGGCAGAGTATCTTCCGAAGGTAGAAATGGTGGACGTGTTGTTCACTGAAGCTGTGGAGTCTAAGAGGCAACAGGAGGTGGTGGGAGCAATCAGCAGGATGTATGCCAAAGCGATTAGTGATGGCTACGACGTGCGACGCGTGCACACTGACCGTGGACGTGAGTTCAATAATGCAGCATTGAAATCGTTCTGTAGCAAATTTGCATTGCATCAGACGTTTGCGCTGGCAGAGGAGCATCAGACCAATGGCCGAGCAGAGGGGGCAATTCTGAGAGTGAAGAACAAAACCCGTGCAATACTCCAGGCATCAGGCCAGTCAGATCTCAAGGAGTGGCCGTTGGCTGCTAAACTGGCAGCGCACCAGCTGCGAGGAGCTGCGCGAACTCGATTGAAGCTGACCGCAGAGCCTTCGTTACCGTTCAATACGAAAGTGCAGGTGCTGCAAAGGTCATGGCGCAGAGGGGTTTGGGAATCGCGCACGGTTTCGGCTTACACAAAGTGCCCTTCTGCTAGTAGTGCCAGAGGCTGGGTTGTCAAGACGGAAGATGGTCTGCTGTTCACTACAAGCAAAGTGTTTCCTGCAATCGATACAAAGATTAAGTTTGAAGTTGAGGGTTCGCCGGTGGACCTTGGGGCTCCGTCTAACAGGCTAAAAGAGAAAACAAGGGTGATGAAGGTAGAGACCCCCGATGATTCAGTCGCCCCCAAACATCCTGCCGATCAGCTTGCGAAGACTTTGATTGAGCAGGACAAATGGGAGCCAAAGGACTTAGCATCACTCGCCTTGTGTCTGGCTAAGACGGTGGCCTCAAACGAGAGGATGATCCAAAAGGAGCCTCGGACAATGGGCCCTGGTGTGAGTCGTCCGGTGGTGAACTTTCTTAGCGGTGCGTTTACTTTCGGGGGGATGACTGGAGTGCGTAGTGATACGAAAGCACATAAGTTTGTGACTCAGTACCTGACAAGGTATATGGCTAGGCACACCGATGAGCCGTTTGCCGGGATAGGTCTGTCCTTAAACTCGGATCATGTGATGCATCGGGATGTTCATAATCAGCGAGGTGTTTCCAACATACTGCTGCCAGTGGTGGCGGAAGGAGGAGGCTTATGGATACAGGATAAGTCAGGGGCTGAACCACGGTCCGAGGGTGAGAGCGCGCCCGAGACTCGTCAACTGACTAATGGGACAGTGCTGCAAGGGAAGGTGTTTCAGTATAGATCCCATGAGCCATTGTTCTTCCATCCGCATGTGTGGCATGAGTCGGTGACCTCAGAGAAACCTCAATTAATTCTGTTTGCCTACACCGTGAGAGGACTGCATCGGCTGGGCAAAGAAGATGTCAAAACGCTTTGGGATACGGGGTTTACTTACATCCCGGGCACAAAGGCTGAGTATTGGGGTTTTAGGTCCTCTACTGGGATGTTGGTAAGATACCACCCGGTGCCCCGCAGACAGATGTTTGTGCCGTTGGAAAGTGATGGCCTTCCGTTTTCTCGTGACCAGATCGGTGATTTGAGGATGTGCATTCAGGAATTCCCGGGCCAATCAGCAGTGCACACATTTCACAGGTGGCGTGATGGTAGGGGTCGTGCATCTAAACAGGCATGGACGGGTAGATCGGTCTTCAAGGTCCGGTTGCAAGTGCCATCTCAGGCCAGTGATGGGGGGGGAGTCTTGCCACCGACGCAACAACCGTTGCTGGTCCAACAGCTGAAAGCTCCGGAAACAATGAGTTCTGAAGAACCAGCGGCAGCGGACAAGGAAGGGGTCATTGAGCTGAGTCATGATGGAGAGCAGCTAGTGATGGCATCCGAACCCCACCAAGAAGGTAATGCTAAGATGATTAGGTCCCTACATGTTCTTCCCCTAGGCAGAGGTGTCCCTGAGGTGAGAAAGCCCAGATCTAGAAGTATTGATGCGCACGGGTCGGCTGCAGTTCATGATGAGTGTGAGCTGATTGGACTAGGGGAAGGTAGGTGCAGAGAACGCGGCAGGTCTCGAACGCCGTGTGCAGGGGATCTGGAAACGTCTGGAGTGGCAGGTAATGCAGCTCGAGGTCACAGGGAGGTGCCGTCGCCTCCACCAGTGTGCACATGGGGTAGCCGTTACGCTGCGAGGTTTAGACTGTGTAGCTTAGGGGTTGATGGGGTTTTGGGTGGTGTGGGCCCTGTCGTTCCCCTTGCCCAGACTCACAACAGCTGCTCAGACGATGTTGTGCGTGATGCCATAGCTGAGGGCCCTCGCCTGAGGTGTGATGATTTGATTGGTGATCGCTCTAAGGGAGTAGAGGCGAATTGCGACCAAAGGAATAAGGTAACGGTCTGTGAGGAGTTTCCAGCTAAATGCCCTAGGGAGGTGATGTATGCTTGCTTAGCAATTGAGATACGTCGTTTGGCAGTCGAAGCCTGCACGCTTGCGGTTGGTGAACATGATTACGATGAAAGGGAGTGTGACCCATTGCCGTACGAGGTGCCGGTTGCGTTGCGTGACATGCATATCTGTCAAGTGTCTCGAGAGATTGGGGAAACCGAGTGTTTTCTTGATCGCGTTGCCTGGCCTATGGTAGAATCGCTGAATGGATCCGCGGAGGTTTTAGCGGCTGACCATCAATCTCGCTGTAAGATGCTTGAGGTAATCGGTGGGGATGATGATTGCTGGCTTAAGGGGATTGAAACTGGCTGGTTGGATGAAGTTCGGGGTTTGGAACAAGAGTTGAAGGCTCTGCAGGGCGTCGAGATGATGGCGTTGCAGTCACTTGAGACCTTGGCCATGAGAGCTTCGAAGCACCTGGCGGTGAAGTCCATCGCTCCGGAGAATGATCCGTCTCCAGGTGAAGGAGAAAACCCTAGCGTAGGCACCCCTGAGGGACTGTCCCCGTTGGATCCTGAAGATGTCGCACCCCTACAGTCTAAGATCATTTCTCAGGAGCAAGTTCGAAAAGAGATGACGAAGTGGTGTGGACCACTACAAGAAGAGTACGACAATCTGACTAAGGATTCGGGTACAGTACGGGCATTGACTGATCAGGAGTTCTCCGAGCTCCTAAACGACACTTCCATTGCGTTGGAGCTTATCCCCGGAAAAGGGGTGTATGTGCACAAGTCAACGGGTAGGCGCCGTGCCCGTATTGTCTGCTGTGGTAATCATCAGAGTGGTGAGAGCCATTCTAAGTCAGAATTGTTCGCTTCGGGAATCGGAGGTGAAGGAATCAGGATGCTTGTTCGCAGGGCAGCGATGAGAGGCGATTGGGACATCGCGACTGCCGACGTAAAGGCTGCATTTCTTCAGGCTCCGGTGATTGCCGGACAGTGTGGGGGTAAGCCGAGGGTCATAGTGGTAAAGGTACCCCATATCTTGAGGGCTTCGGGTGTATGTTCGGAGCGCTACTGGCTAGTACAAAAGGCGATGTATGGGTTGGCGGTGTCACCAAAATGCTGGGTGACACACAGAAACAAGGTCCTTCGCGACTTGAGGATCCCGTATCAGTCAGGCACAGTTCGGTGTGTGCAGATGTTGGAGGACGCAAACATGTGGAAGCTGCAGTTCGATCATGAAAAGCTCCATGGTCAGGACAGTGAAGGAGGTGCTGTGAGTACACTTGGGTTGTTGGGACTGTACGTGGACGACATCCTAACGGCGGGCCCTCCAGCTCTGTTGAAAGCCGTGTTAGATGCACTACAATCCGCATGGCAGCTCTCCACTCCGGAGTTCCTCTCGAAGCAGGGTGATACCGTGAAGTTCAGCGGTTTCCAGATCGAAAGAACTTGCTCGGGATATCTGATGCATCAAACTAGCTACGTGATGGACTTGCTGGACCAGTATGAGACAGAGATTACTGGCGAGGAACCGGCCCCGGCGGTTAAAGTTTACGATGTTAGGGTGATAGGAGACGAGGAGGACCGGTCTAGAGTTACAAAAAAGGCCCAGACTCTGGTGGGTCAACTCCTCTGGGTTTCCACTAGGACCAGGCCAGACTTGGCGTTCGGAGTGAGCATGGCGGGACAGAAGATTGCATCTGACCCAGCTGAGTCGCTTGCCAGGGCAGAACACTTGATTCGATATCTACGCCACGCTCCGAGAGTGGGATTACAATATGGTTGCGCAAGCGGGCGTTGCGGGAAATGGGACCAGCTAAAGTATCAGGAGGTGGAAGCCAGCATGGATGTTTTTTCAGATGCATCGTTCTGTGCAGATGAGAAGAGCAGAAGTTTTGGCAGTATCCATCTGTACTGGGCTGGGGCATTGATCGCTTGGGCTTCAAGTCGGCAGACTCTAATTGCTTCACATACTGCCGAGAGCGAATTGTACTCGTTGGCTGAGGGTCATCTGTTGGGTAAGGCGATGAGACCTACAGTTGCAGCTTTGTTGGATATGCCGGAGGCTAGAGTGGACTGCAGATTGTATTGTGACAATGCGGCGGCAGTTCAGTTATGTGTTCTGGAAGCCGGATCGTGGCGAACACGTCACTTGAGGCTGCGTGGAGCCGTAATCCGGCAGGACATCGAGGATGGGCTGTGGCTACTCTCACACCTTGAAGGGGTTTTCATGCCAGCTGACATAGGGACTAAGTGTGTAGGACCTGCCAGACTAGAAGATTTGATTCGGGTGTGCAACCTGTGGGCTCCGCACTTACAGACATCAGAGGCGGCTCCTAGACCTCAAGTAGCATCCATGGCCAGTGGACAGACTGGGGTTGCAAAAGCGCTGGTAGCTCTCTTGCTGATTGCTCAGATGTCAGGTGTAAGAGCAAGCTCACTGAGTTTTCCCGGAGAAGATATCCACTTGCTGTGGCAGAGCTTTGTTGTTGGATTCGGCATCGGCTGTGGTTGGTGGGTTGCGGGTAAGTTGGGTGAGTTGGTGAATAGGTGCTGTAGAAGACCACCTGTCTCCATGGGCCCCCGAACTCCCCGAATGGCACATCATCACGAGCAAGCGACTAGGACTACGCATGTTCAGACGGAGCCTGAGAGTTTTGACCATGCGTTAGATTCGGGGGAGTGGGACCCGTTGCCAATTCAGTCAGAGGGCGTTATGATGGACCTGTCTGCGGATGAAGAGCGATGGCTTCTTGAGGTGCATGAGCGTATGTATCAGCGAAACAATTCTACAGTCAATGCTAGGTCTAGCGGTTCATCAGGTCCTGGGACTGAGCTGAGAGCATTGCCTGGGGTTACTGATAGGGGTGGTTCTCCTGAAGTTCTATTCCGGTTGGGATTAGGTCAGGTTGGTGCGCGTGATGCGTATTGGCAGGCCCCAGCCGAGGATGTTGAGCATCGGCGCATGCCACCAGGCATGCATCCTCCCGAAGTGTTAGGTGAGGCTAGAGCTCCAACTGTTCCCATGCCCCCGGATTATGAAGATCTAGGTTTTGATGGAGAAGGTCTGGTTGCGCAACAATTTCGCCATGGTGACCGAGTGAGATATGTGGATGATGAAGGTGTTGTTGACGAAGACCAGAGTGAGGAGTCGTCACTCGGAGAATGGACGACGGACTCGGGTATGCCTAGGGGACCAAGTGGGAGCAGTAGCAGCTTTACAGGGTCAAGAAGTGGCAGGCACCTGGCTGTTGCAAGCGTTGCTGCATCCATTCACTCAGTGGATAGCCATAGGATGTCCGAAGTCGAAGAGGACAGCTCGTGGGAATTTTGGGTGTTTGTGGGACTGGTCGCTGTGGTTTGCATGTTCCTAGGTGCGCTAGGGATGTACTGTTGCATGAGGACCAGTGATGCTGAGAGTGCGGCGCATGCAGTTGGGGAGCCACGCCCAGCGGTTAAAGGTAGCGGCGAAGAGGAAAGTATTCATAGTTCTCATGATACAACTCCACTGCGTAAGAGAAGCACAGGACACCTTCAGTTATCACCTATTGTAAATGTCACGGTTCGGAACCATATTGTGGGTGATAGGGTAGCTGAAACGAGGGTTGATGAACGTGAGACGCTGGAAAAAGAACAGAGAGGCCGAGGGAGCCGGTCCCCCGGGGATCATTGCGATTTGGGTTTTTCGGTTCCTTCTAGGAGTAGCACTGCGGAGGCTATGATGTCCCCGATTTCCTGTGCGGCAGATTCCAACCCGAGCCCCATAGGACCCTGTGGTTTAGGCCCCTCGGGTACCCATAAGTCAGAACGCACCAGAGACCTGAAACCCCTAGAACCTTGTGGTTTAGGCCCCTCGAGTACTCAGAAGGCCGAACGTAATAGAGACCTGAAACCCCTAGGACCTTGTGGTTTAGATCTCACGGTTGACCCTAAGAGCCAAGGGAGAGCAAGGGACCTGCACTCCAGTGTGGGCAAGGATGGAGATGGCAAGAAGATCTTCGAAGAAGCCGGACACCCTAAACCCTTAGGACCCTGTGGTTTAGGCCCCTCGGATCTCCCTAAGAGTGATGACAAGAAAGACCCGAGACCGCTAGGACCTTGTGGTTTAGGCCCCTC